TCGCCGCCGACAACCGCCGTCCCAACAAAGCCAGCGCTCCCGCTCGAGAATTTGCTTTCCTTCACGATGGACTACCGCCCTATTCTCTCTTCAGCATTGGCGCCGCCCCCAGCAACAACAGCGGACCTGCTCGAGACGTTTCCCTTTTCTATTCAGGGCCAGGCCGCCGACAGCCCCCATCCCCACCAAGGCAATCCTGTCGCTCGATACTTCCTTGTGCTTTACCCACGGCTGGGGCTTCATTGGCGCGCATCGGCCCAGCAAGGCGCGGGCGTGCATTTTCGAGGCAGGATATTTTGAAATTGTTCGGTGAAGGTGCTTGCAAGACCTCATTGGGCGGGAGATCTGGGAATGCGAATGGCCCGGCTAGAAAACAATAGTCCCCCATGACGTGGATGGTTATCATGATGGTCGCATGATTCGTGTGGACACATCGCGCATGATTACAGTGATTATTGTTATTGTTGTCGTCGTCGTTGCTATTGCTACTGCTATTGCTGTTGCTGTTGCTGTTGCTGTTGCTGTTGCTGTTGTTGTTGTTGAACATTATTTATTCTAAAGAATAATTATTGTTGGGCCCCCTGGTGCGCGCCCCCCCTGCGCCGCCTAGGCCGCAGCTACATTTTCATCATTTTCGTGAGGAAGCCTCAGAAAAGAGGGTGTGTACAGGATCCGGTTGTTTTGTTGTAATCCGCTTTCCCTTGCAAAAAACAATAGAAAATGACATTTCTTGTTCTAATATAATCAAATTTCAAGAATCCCTTGCAAAAAATAAGGTAAAGTGGACATTCGCGCGCGCAAGACGAAATCCTTCCAAAACCTTAGTGTTCGCAGCGATTTTAACATAAAAACATCAAAAAACCAATGGTTTTTCAACAAAAAAATGTCAAAATCTCATCCCGCGCGCTCTTGCGGATTCGTAGGAAACCCAACACTTTTTAAACATTTCTGTCAAACGGGCTTTTGCGAGCAACTTTTTCGAACTTCTGCGACAACGGTTGCGCACCTGCCAGGGCCATCATCCCTGTCAAATAATACCATGCGGGACACATTCGTTTTTTCTTCGCGCGCGCACGCCGTCGTCGTCGGCCGCGGGGCCCTGAATAGTAGCCACGGTCGTCCGCATGCCACGAAGTGAAGTGTCCGAACGTCATAGGGCGGGAAGCTGGGTGTGGGTGGTGGCGAAGAGTCGTTTGGAAATTTGGTAGAGCTTGAACCGGCCCCCCCACAAAGTGGGGGTATTGCCCGCCTCCTATGAAAACCCTGGCACTGGTGAGAACGGAGTGTCCCCACGTGCTAGTAATTGTTGTTGTTGTTGTTGTTGTTGTTGTTGTTGTTGTTGTTGTTGTTGTGTCTTCTAGATCATAAGTATGGTTGATATCCGGAAACAGTTCCGCGCGCTCTCTCCGCGACGCCGGCTACACTTTCTCTGGAAACGAGGTTCCCGCTCGAGCGTTGGCTTGAGCCTAAATGCGGGCCTTTGGAGGCCCAGCTACGACAACAACGGCCCCCTCTCGATATTTCTTCACAGTTTGCCCCGAAACATCCTGGCCAGAGAGGCCTCCGAACTCAGGAACGGCGCTCTTGCTCGAGATTTCTTCGCAATTCAACGAAGTCGGCGGAAGCCCAGCCACGACGACAAGGGCTCCTGTTCGATATTTCCTTACGATTTACTCCGAGAGCTCCTGACCAAGGAGACCCCCGAACTCAGGAACGGCGCCCTCGCTCGAGACTTTCCCGTAATTCAGGCAAGTTGGTGAAGGCCAGACACGGCGACAAGGGCTCCCGTTCAGTATTTTTCCAAAAGGTATTCCGAGAGCCCCTGGCCAGAGAGGCCCCCGAACTCAGGAACGGCGGTCGCGCTCGAGACTTCTTCACACTTCAGTCAGTGCTCGACAAGGAAGAGATTCCCCCCGAAAGGGGGTGCAATCGAAGACGACGCGGGCGGCCATCGAGAGTTGGGGTATACGGAATGCGAGACACGCGTGCCAGTAAGAGCGAACAGTCTTAAAGTGTTATTGTCGTCGTCGTCGTTGTTGTTGTTGCTGTTGTTGTTGTTGTTGTTGTTGTTGTTGTTGTTGTTGTTGTTGTTATGAGTATTAATATCATTGTTGCTGTTGTTGTTGTTGTTGTCGTTGTGCGCCGGGGGCCGGGGGCGCAGATTGAGCATTTTTTTCGATTTGACAAAACACAGCGAGCCCTGGGAGGGGCGTTCCAATCGAAAATTATCCCGGCAAAGCAACCTAACAGCGATGTGTAGGAGCATATCTGGAAGCATTCCCCTTAAGATTCAGATGAGAATCCAGTTGTAGAATTCTGCTGTTCTCGCAGTCGTAGTCGCATTCGCGATGACAGTCGCAGTGGCAACGGCAGTCGCAGTCACAGCCTCAGCCTCAGCCTGCCTCAGCCTCAGCCTCAGCCTGCCTCAGCCTCAGCCTGCCTCAGCCTCAGCCTCAGCCTGCTTCAGCCTCAGCCTCAGTCTGCCTTCAGCCTCGGCCTC